GTAGGTTATTAGTCACATCAGTTGGTTCCTCATTGAATGGTGTACAAAGATGTTCAATTCCATTAGTTTACTTTTCACATCCTTGAATCTTTCATTAAATGCCTCAATCAGTTTCCCACACTCATTAGCATATTCACGTGTTGCAGAAGGCTTTTGTCCTTCCTGAGTGGGAAATGCACTGTGTTATTCCTTTTGAATTGCACTTTCCACAACCTTAGTTTAGCTTTAGATTATTTCACATTGGAAGCAAGGAGCTGAGAAGCTGGTTGGGGCCCAGCAACTTGATGTTCAGCTCTGAGAGGTAATGTCCATCATGAATGCTAGTTCACACAGCCACTTGCTATCACTGAGTTCCCTGACAGGTTTTTCCTTCATTTCCATGAGCTGCTTGACTTCATCTGCAGTTGGTAAAACCTCATTAGCAAGTTTCCACAACTCAGCCACCACATTTCCTGATTATACAATTAGTACAAAACTATGGTAACTGAGACAGTGTAGAACTGGATGAGGACAGAAACATACGACAGAAACATACATCAGTAGAACAGAACTAAGAGTCCATAAGTAAACCCATTCATTTATGGTCAATTGTTTTCTGACAAAGTTCCCAAGGCAGTCAATAGGAAAATATTACTCTTCTCAACAAATGATGCTGGGATAAACAGATACTCACACACAAAATTTAACTAAAAATCAATCATGGACCCAAATGCAAGCACTAACATGATAAAACACTTAGAAGAAAACATAGGTGTAAATCTTCATGATCTTAGGTTAAGCAATTTAGATATAAATTTCAAAGTATAAATAAAAAAAACAATAAATTGGACTAATTTAAAATTAAACTTTTATGTGTCATAGAACACATTCAGGAAAGTAAAAAGGCAGCACACTGCTGTGAGAAGATATTTGCACACCATATATCTGATGAGACTTGTATCAAGAATTTATAAAAATCTTACAACTCAATAACAAAAAGAGAATCAATATAAAACTATCACAAATTGAAAGAAAATTCAGTAAAGTAGCATACAAAAGCAAACAATAGTCTTCACATATAAAACAATAAACAGAAGCTAACAATATCAGGAATAAAGAGGGTCATTACTACAGGAATTGAGAGGGAATATTTACTAATAACTTTATGCCCATAAATTCAACAATTCAAGTGAAAAGGATATTTTTCTTGAAGATACAAAGTATCAAAACTCACCCAAGAAGAAATCTATAACCTGAGTACTCCTACATATGTTACAAGTTGAATTCATAGTTAAAAACTTTTCAAAAAATAAAATTCCAGGCCAAGTTGGCTTTATGGGCCATTCTATAGATGAATCTCAAATGTAGTATGCTAATACAAGAGGTCAGACTCTAAAGACTATAATACATACGTGATACTCTGGAAAAGGCAAAATACGTGGGTGGAAAACTACATTAATTGTTTCAAGGGGCGGGAGGTAGGAGGGCTTGATTATATGGGAGCAGAGGAGACTAGGCAGGGCGGTGGAACTTTTATATCTTGGCTGTCAAACCTGCATGATCGGATCAATTTTACTGTAAGTTACACCTTAACGGAAAAGATTTTATGGCTGAATGGCAGGTCTATAAATAGCAATTGACCTAATAAAATTGAATGGGCCATAAAGAAAGCTGAAAACATCATGATCTATGTATTACAGAATTCTCAAAAAGAAGCAGTATGTCTAGGTCTGACTATGAGATGGAATGCTAACCCTAGGAGTATTGAGGGAGGGGCTATTTAAAAGAAATTACTGTTGATCTCCCCACTCTATACCTCTGGACTAATGTAGCTCACTATTGCAGTAATCTTGAGTTTTGGTTTCTGTGGAGAGTAAGAGAGAGAATCCACATTGGGGAATCCCAGGCACAGTGTAGGGCCCTGGATGTCAACAATGGAAGGTTCAGGGATGCTGAACATACTTAATGCAGAATGTTCAGACACCGGCACCTTCTACCCAAGCTGCCAGAACCTTGCAATAAGATTCTCATGATTTAATAAAGAATTTTTTATTATCTGTGAAGCTAACAAGCCCAAGAGAGATGTTATAAAGATACTGATACCAGCAGCTTCCCACGACTCACCCCATTCTCTCACTGAGAAGATCAAAGTAAATAAGCCACACTCACCACCCAGAGTTTCCAATCACTTCTTATTCTAGCGATCTTCACTTCAAATTCAAGACAAAGAAATACCAGACATCGAAGGAGGGCCTCCAACATGAAAAATAAACACCACGTCAATCAAGCTGAAGACTGCAATTTGTGGGAAACAAACTCAGCTCGGAGAAGCAAAATAAAGTTATGAAGTTCTCCCAGTTCTTTAAGGTTTAAGACAGAAATGGTGAACACATTCCATTTTACTTCTGCCACTAATCACAGCACCACAAGTCACTCACCAAAAGATTCTGTGAGGTGGACAAAAGGAGGTGGGCTAGGGATCTCAGGACTGAAAGGAGAAGCCAGTGGGGAGTTTCCTGGGGCATTTCTTTCCCCTGTGTGCCCAACTTGGGGTTATTTGTGAAGTTACACACACCAGCCATACGAAAAGCCAAGGGCCAGGAAAGGGTGGGAAGACATGACAGACACCTCACCCTTATGCCTTGCTCTGAGGGAAGCTGCACTCCTCTGTCCTCCACTGAAGAAGCTTCGTTGATGGGAGGCTGTGTGCCAAGCCCTTTCCCCGCGGTAAGGTGGCCCCTGTTGAGCATATGTGCCAAGATATTATAGCTCAGCAGTGCTGACATTTAGGGCTGGGAAATTCATTGTTTTGGAAGGGGACCTGTGCCCTATAGGATGTTTAGCAGCATCCCTCTCCAGAGACTCCATAAACTAAACTACTATTGGAACCGCAGTCCACTAAAGTGAGCCAGATATGCATTCTGATTTTGACAGGTTGACTATCTGCTAAGTTAGACTTAAGTGGGAACCAGAGCCTTTGAAAGTTATACTCAAAATGCACAGGATATAGCCCCAAATTACTTGTCACATTGAGAACTAGGAAAACCTCAACTCCAATAAGAAAAGACAATCAATAGATATCACGCTAACACATTGTTTGAATTATTGGACCAAGATTTTAAAGCAGCTATCATAAAAATTCCCCGATGAGCAATTATGAACACACTTGAAAGATATTCAACATATTAAAGTGCAAGTAACCACGAAGGAAGATAAATTATTGGCAATATATTACAGATGTTCCTCTGTCAATAAACCCATCATAAGTTGAAAATATAAGTAAAAAAATGCATATAATCTGCCTAACCTGCCAAACATCATAGCTTAGACTAGCCTAACTTAAACATGCTCAACATTTACATTCGCCCAGAATTGGGCAAAATCATCCAACACAAAGTCTATTTTTTATTGAAGTGTTGAATACCTCATGTACTTACTGAATATTGTACTGAACGTGAAAAAACAGAATGTTGTACAGGCATCACTATCACATCGCTGTAAAGTAAAAAAATCATTAGGTTTTCAAACCATTATAAGTCAGAGACCATCTGTAAAGGACTAGGGACTGCTATCAAGAAATATAAAGATTTCCTAATACCACACATTCATAGCTTCCCCCATTGGAAACCTCAGTACCTTCTAATTAATTTTGCTGTGACCCTAAAACTTCTTTTTAAAAAAGTATCACCTATTTAAATGTATGTATGGAGGAAAGGGGCCGGTAGAATAGTGATGGAAGGAGACTAGACTTGGGGTGATAAACACACAATACAATATACAGATGCGGTATTGTAGAATTGTACACCTGAAACCTGTATAATCTTATTAACCAATATCGCTCCAATAAACCCAATTAAAAAATAAATCCTGGGGGGAAATAATTTTATGGAAAAGGACCACATCCAAATAAAAGATTAAACAACAACAAATATATATATTCTCCCCCCTCCCTGCCAAAATGGATACACACTTTGGGTAATTAAAGTTATGAAGTACTTCCAGTTCTTTAAGGTTTAAGACAGAAATGATGAACACATTCCATTTTACTTCTGCCACTAATCACAACACCACAAGTCACTCACCAAAAGATTCTGTGAGGTGGACAAAAGGAGGTGGACTAGGGATCTCAGGACTGAAAGGAGAAGCCAGTGGGGAGTTTCCTGGGGTGTTTTAATGACAAAGGCAGTGTTTATTAAAATATATCTTATTTTCAGAGTGTCCTACAATCAGCTGTTAAAGGGTGTCTATATCTTTGGGGGGTACGCTGCACCTGTAAATATACGAAACACCTAGAGACTGGCAAGCTACCTTTTTCTATGTAACTCGTGAACTAAGAATGATTTTTACATGTGTTTATGCTTGAGGGAGAACAAAAGAACATGTTGTGAGATGTAAACCTCACATGAAAATCAACTTCGACCTGGAAGTGAGGTTTCCTTGGAAGGCAGCGCTGTGCGTTGGTGCCCATCCTGTAGGGCAGCAGGGCTCTGAGGCCTCAGGGGCGAAGGTGGCACAATGACCTTCCCACCCTCTCTTCGCTGATGGTACCATAACTTGCTTTGTTCATTGGTAACCAGGTGAGGAATTGTGCTTGCACTTCCCCATACTACTGCGTGCGTCCTATGGCCAAACCCGGACCTGCTGGCTGCATAACCACAGCCGCCCTGGGGTGGGGCCACTGGAGACCACCCACCGCAGCTGACCGGGTGTGAGGACACAGAGAGTCTATCACCTGTGTGTGGGGGTAGGAGGGGCGGGGAGGGCGGTGCAGGCCGCTGAGAGCCACGTCCACGTGTAAGTGAGCGTGAGACCTGCCAGGGCCCCAGGCGCGCAGAGAGCGGCGGAGCGGAGCCCCCTGGAGCCTGAGCCGCAGGGGCAAACCATGTGCTGAGGTTCCAGCGCGCGAGGCGCTGGCGTTGGTGCTGCCCGGTGCCGCGTGCGCTGGCGCCATCACACCGCGCGGCCTCACCAGGAGGAGTCCCGCGGGCTCCAGCCACCGCACCCGGGGGGCCCTCAGCCTCATGGCCACCCCGCCCTCCTGCCCTGGTGCTGGGCCTGGAGCTTCCAGCAAAGCCTTGGGCCTCCTCCTGTTCCTGCTGCTGCTGCTGCCCAGCAGGCACCTCGACAGCGAAGGGATCACCTTGAGCCAGGCCGTGGGTAGGACCCTAGCATGGTTGTGAGTGGTTCCAGAGGCGCATCCTCCCTCCCCTTCCCTTCCATGTTGGAGACCCCTTTTCCTTGCCTTCCCTTCCGTCCTCACGCTCCCCTGCTCTCTCCCATCCTCCTCTCTGCTTCCCTATTACCCCAGTCTCCCCTCCCCTTTCTTATCCCCCCTCCCCATCCTCCACACACAGACTCCTGGTGCACCGCAATCCTCCCTCCCTCCCCTTGCCCCTGGCCTGGCCTGCTCCTGCACAGCTGCACTCACACGCTCTGTCTCTCTCCACTCAGCCTGTGGCCGGCGCCACGTGCAGGGGAGGATCCTAGGAGGCACGGACGCCCCTGAGGGGAAGTGGCCGTGGCAGGTCAGCGTGCACTACGGGGGCTTCCACATCTGCGGAGGGTCCATCATCAATGAGTACTGGATCCTGACAGCAGCTCACTGCTTTAGCAAGTGAGTGGTGCCGGATGCCATTCCCCGGAGGTCCAGGGGCTGACCATGCAATTCAGGTGGAGCGGGACAATTGGAATTGGAGAGAGAGTGGGCCTAGCACACAGCTCCATACTCTATAGCTTCTGACACAGGGCTGGGGTGTGTATGTGTGGGAGGAGGGGCGGGGGCGCTGGAGTCCTTAGGCCCATCTGTTCTTTGAGATAGGTGTGGAGCCAAATCATAGGATGAGAGGTGAGGAGAGGAGACACACCATGGGCAGGGCGGCTCACAGAAGAGATGGAGGAGCCACATCATCGTATGAAAGGAGAGAAAACACATCATAGGATGGGAGGAGAGGAGACATAGGAGGAGAGGAAATACATCCCAGGATAAGATGGGAGGAGAGGAGACTCAGAGCATGAGAGGGGAGGGGAGGAGAAGAGGCACATCACAGGGTGAGAGACTGACCTCTGGACAGGCCACTTTTCACCGGACAAGCTCATCCTGGGCTGTTGGTGGCCTGCAGATCCTGATGGTTTCCCACGGGCCCACGTCAAGACTTCTCTGGGGGACATTTTCCCAAACAACCAAATCCCCACTGTCCTGCAAGGATTACTTTTCCACATCTTGACTGCGAGCCTGAACACCAAGCTGCCTCGCTCCCAGGCCTCCCTGTGTCGGTGAGCTCATAATGGTGGCTCCTCTCCCCAGGTTCAAGGTGCTTGAGCCACTGTGCCTTTGTTCTCTGTCCCCACAGGAACAGGAGCCCTGCGGCATTTGATATGTACGTGGGCCTTGTGGACCTCAAGCTCGCAGGCAACCATACCCAGTGGTTTGAGGTGAATAAGGTTATTATTCATCATACATTTGAAATGTACCACCCTCTTGGAGGTGACGTCGCTCTGGTGCAGCTGAAAAGTCCAATTGTATTCTCTGACTCTGTACTCCCCATCTGCATTGCAACCCCAAACATAAACCTGGAGAACCTTACCTGCTGGGTGACAGGATGGGGACTCATCTCCCAAACAGGTAAGAGAACAAAATGAAGCATCAATCCCCCTCCCCCCCCCCCTTTTTTCTTTTCTTTCCTTTCTTTCTTTCTTTTTTTTTTTTTTTTTTTTTTTTTTTTTTTTTTTTTTTTTTTTGAGCTTGTGGAAGGATGGTGGCTCTATGACATTAAGGGAAGAAAGTGTTCTGTCCCTTACGGAGTTGCAGGTATCTGAGGACTGCAATCCCAACCCATTTCTCTGGAGTTTTGTTTTATCCCTGGCTGACTTTGTTGTATACAAAGAAATAGTTACTTCTACTTTGAGTGTGAACTTAATAATTTAGTTTATTAAGACCAAAATTTTCAAAGTTTCCTAAGATAGTAAATTTAACTTAATCTTTTTAGAATATTAAAAAAAAACCTTACTAGTTATTCTCATTTTGTGCCTAAAAACCTTGTATTTTCTTTGTAGGTTTGTACTTAGGATTTTTAAAAAATATATATTTTTATTGATTTTTTACAGAGAGGAAGGGAGAGAGATAGAGAGCTAGAAACGAGAGAAACATCGACCAGCTGCCTCTTGTACACTCCCTACTGGGAATGTGCCCGCAACCAATGTACATGCCCCTGACTGGAATCGAACCTGGGATCTTTCAGTCCGCAGACCGACGCTCTACCACTGAGCCAAACCGGTTTTGGCTGTACTTAGAATTTTTATGGCTAAGTAAAAGATGCTTTTAAATTGCATTTGTTAATCAGTGATAGTTTTGATTTTTGCACATTGACTTTGTTTCTAGCCAACTCATTGAACTAATTTTTAATAGCTTGTCTATTGATTATTGGCTGTTCTATATATTATTTTTCCTTTGAGATTTTTTTCCATTTTCCTTATTTTTTAAAAAAATTTTTGAGAATATTATAAATCTCCCCTTCTTCTACCCCCCCAGTCTCCATTGTCCCATCCATCCAGTTCCTGCCCCTGGCCCAGGCCTTCCTTCACCATCGTATTGTCTGTGTCCATAAGTAATGTATATATGCATATAAGTTCTTAGGTCAATCACTATCCCCTCCCTTCCCTCTGAGATTCATTGGTCTGTTCCATACCTTTGGTTCTATTTCATTCACCAGTTTATTTTGTTCATTATATTCCTTGTTCATTTTTTTAGATTCAATTGTTGATAGATATGTATTTATTACCTTTTTATTGTTCATATTTTTTAATCTTTTTTTCTTTTGCTGCTGCTGTTTCTTTTTCTTCTTCTTCTTACTGCTTTTCTCCTGCTGCTTTTAAGATTTTTCTCTTTGTCTTTAAAACTTTGTCATTTATATTATAATGTGTCTTGGTGTAAGACTCTTTGGGTTCCTAGACTTGTAAGTCTATTTCTTTCATCAGTTAGGAGAAGATTACTATCATTATTTCTTCAAATGGGTTTTCAATATCTTGCTGTCTCTCTTCTCCTTCTGGCATCCTCATGATGTGAATGTTGGTGTGCTTGAAGTTGTCCCAGAGGCTCCTTACACTAACTTCATATTTTTTTTATTCTTTTTTTCTTTTTGCTCTTCTGATTGGGTGTTTTTTGCTGCTTATTTATTTATTTATTTAATATATTTTATTGATTTTTCACAGAGAGGAAGGGAGAGAGATACAGAGTTAGAAACATCAATGAGAGAGTCATCGATCAGCTGCCTCTTACACACCCCCTACTGGGGATGTGCCCGCAACCCAGGTACATGCCCTTGACCAGAATCGAACCTGGGACCTTTCAGTCTGCAGGCCGACACTTTACCACTGAGCCAAACTGGTTTTGGCATTGCTGCCTATTTTAAATCATTGATTTGATTTTCAAAATCCTCTACTCTATTGTTGAATCCCTGTAAATTATTTTTTATTTCAGTAAGTTTATGCTTAATATTTGACTGGTCCTTTTTCAGTCTCGAAATTCTCACTAAGATCCTTGGAATTCTCACTAAGTCCCTTGAAGCTCTCATTATTAAAATCTTTGAGCAACTTTATAACCATGGTTTTGAATTCTGTATCTAGTTGTTTGCTTGCTTCCATTTCATTTAGTTCTTTTTCTGGAGATTTCTTCTGTTCATTCATTTGTGTGGATGGTGTGCCCAGTCTTGTTATAGTTGAGCCTTGATTGCTATTTGGTCAGTGGGAGAAGTTGACCGTGCAGGCCGATGGGCTCTGAGAAGCACTCCTATGCAGGAGACACCCCTGTGGAGCAGGACTTGCTTCAGTGGGGCTTTGGTACTCACTGAGTCTGCCCCTTGAGTGTGTCATTTGTGGATGTGAAGAGTTGTAATCTGTGTGGTCTGAAGCTGGTGCACTGGTTCTGGGGCCTCCCAGTAGATGCAAAGTTAGTCACTACCTGAGGCCACCCATCAGGAGCTACAGAGCAATCTGAATATGGCTGTTACTTGTGTTGGGCTTGGAAGTGCCCAGGTGAGGCCAAGCTGTCTTGGGCCTCTTATTGATAGGCATGGGACATGCTGACACCAGCTTGTTTGAGAAATTCTTTTAGAAAAGTCTGAAGCCTGAGCCAGAATAGGTCATTCAAATGGAAAAGCCTCTGAAAACAGCTTGGGTGGGGCTGCAAATTGAATGGGACGCAGCCTCAGGGAATAACCAGGGCTGAGCCGACAGTGTGAATCAGGATGATTGCTAGGAGCTCCATTTTATGTAACTAATTGTGTGTTTTTTCTTACTGTTAAGATTATCTCTTTGTCTTTAACCCTTGATAAGAATTATCTCTCTTCACAGATGTGTCTTGGTGTGGACCTCTTCAAATCCAGTTTTTGGGGCTGTCTGTCCTTTCTGGATTTGTATATCTATTTCCTTCCACAGGTTAAAGAAGTTTTCAGTCATTATTTATTCAAATAGATTCTCAGTCCCTTTTTCTTTCTCTTCTCCTTCTGGTACATTTATGATGTGAATGTTGTTATATTTGATGTCTCAGAGGTTCCTTAAGATATCATCATTTCATTAATATTTTCTTCTTCTATTCTAATTGGGTGTTTTCCACTACCCTATGTTTTAAATCACTTATTGCATCTTCTGTTTCATTTAATCTGCTGTTTATTCTGCCCAATTTAGTCTTTGTTTCTGTTATTGTATTCTTCATTTCTGACTGGTTGGGTTTTATGGTTTCTATGTCTTTTTTATGTTTACTATTTCTTTGTTGAAGTTCTTTTAGTGAGTTAATCTCTTCCTCCCCTATATTCACTAAACATCCTTATAACCAATATTTTGAACTCTGCTTCCATTTTGTTTAGATCTCTTTCTGGAATTTTCTTCTGTTCTTTCTTTAGGGACATTTTTCTTTGTCTCCTAATTTTGACTGTTTTTCTATGTTTGCTTCTATATGTTAGGTAGATCAGTCTTGGCATAATGGTTGTTTGTAGTAGGTGTCCTATGAGGCCCAGTGGTGTAGTCTCCCTGGTCACCTGAGCCAGGTTTTCTAAAAGTGTTCCTTTTGTTGATTGTGTATGCTCTCTTCTTGTATTTGAGCCTTGATTGCATATTACTTAGTGGGGTGAACCTCAGGCTAATTTGGTGTGCGAACTGGCCATGACCACAGTGCATGAGCTGCTAAGCTGGGGCTTATCCCATGGAGCAAGATTTGCTCCAGCATAACTCTGGTGCCTGCCAAGACCACCTTTTGGGTGTGCCATTTAAGGACCTAATCATGTGGTGCTCTGTTGTGGTCTGAAGCTGACCACCTGGTGTGTTGGTTCTGGAGCCTGGTGCAATCCAAAGTCAGCCAATGCCTATACCCAGCCCATGGGCACCTGGTAGGAGCTACAAAATGACTGATTTGCAATTTTTAGCTGCCTGTGCTGGGCCTAGAGGCATATGGGAGAGGCTACACTGTGAACCAAAGCTGGTTGCCATTAGTGCCAGGCCTGGGTGGATGCTCATCAAGAGGTACAAGGCAGCCCTAGCTGGTTTGGCTTAGAGGATAGAGCATCAGCCTGTGAACTGGAGGGTCCTAGGGTTCGAATTTGGTCAAGGGCACATGCCCAGGCTGTGGGCTCAATCCCCAGTAGGGGGCGTGCAGGAGGCAGCCTATCAATTATTCTCTCTCATCATTAATGTTTCTATCTCTCTCTCCTTCTCCCTTCCAATCTGAAATCAATAAAAAGTATATGTATAGAGAGGTACAAGGCACTCAGAGACCAGGTGCCACCTGCATAGGGCTTGTGGATCTTTGAGAATTTTTAGAAATGCCTGCAGCCTGGGCCACAGTCAACTGCAGTTGCAGAAAGAAACTTGTATAGTGCATGCGTGGGGTTAGGTGGGGTCTCAGGGAGTCACCAGGGCAGGAGGAGTAGTGTTCTCTAAGTTAATGCAGATTCAGATTTGCTGCCTGTTTGTACCTGCAGCTGTGTGGCAGAAGGGCTCTTCCCAGAACCAATGGCAACTTCTCCAGCCCTCATCCTGAAGCCACACAACTCAGTTTCTTCTCATATTTCCCTGGTATCCTTTGAGCTGCTGTCCCTTTGCTGGAGCTTAGGATGAGTGTTTGTGAGTGAGTGAATCTGTTTGCAGGCCCCTTAAGAGGATGCCTGGATTTCTAGCAGCCCACTGTCTCACCTGGACAGAATCCCCGCCGATTTTCACAGGCAGATGTTGTGGGGACTCATCTTCCTGGCACCGGTACTTTGGGCTGGGGAGCCTGTTGTGGGCTTGGGACCCCTTGCTCCTAGTGGGGACCCTGTAGCCAAGATATCCTTCCTGATTCTCAACTGCCACAGGTGGGTATAGGACCGGCCTGCTTTACATATCCACCCCTCCTACCATTCTCAGCATGGCTTTTTGCTTATATCCTTAGTTATAAGAGTTCTGTTCAGTTAGTCCTCAGGTGGTTCTCAAGGATGGTTGTTTTATAATTTGTCATTTTGATGTGATCATGAGAGGGAGTGAGCATAGTGTTTACCTACTCTACCATCTTGACCAGAAGTTGAGTGGTTCCCTTTGTATTCCATATCATACCAGACTCTAGGCAGATAAATTAGGCAATAAAAATAAATAAAA